ATGAGAGCTGGGAAGCTTCAAGATAGAAGCCTCATCAAATGTGACGTACCTACTCAGCACAATCTTCTTATCAACTGGATCCCAAAGCTTGTATCCCTTGACACCACACTTGAATCCTACAAATATGGCCTTCCTAGCTCGAGGTTCCAATTTATCAGTTCTAACATGATAATATGCAGGGCACCCAAATACCTTGAGCTGGTCATAGTCATGTGCTGGCTTTCCCGACCACATCTTCATAGGGGTTTTCCCCTCAATCGCAGATGAAGGCAGCCTATTAATGAGGTGGCTCGCATATGTAAGTGCCTCAGCCCAAAAGATCTTCTCCAAACCACTCTGCGACAATAAGCATCGGATCTTCTCCAGTAAAGACCGATTTAACCTCTCTACCACCCCATTTTGCTGCGGTGTATGACTAACTGTGAAGTGTCTCTCTATGCCCTCGTCTCGACATAGCTGCTGAAAGGGGTCAGAAGTATACTCATCACCGTTGTCGGATCGCAACGTCTTGATCTTTCTCCTAGTCTGCAGTTCTAATCTTTTCTTCCACTCCACAAACAAATCTAGGACTTCACTCTTCTTCGTCATGGTGTACACCCAACAACGCCTAGAATAGTCATCTACAAAAGTGACGAACTAATGTGTACCACCAAGTGATGTAGTCTTGGTGAGACCCCAAACGTCTGTGTGCACATAGTCCGGGATGCCCCTCGTCTGATGAATGGCAGTCCCGAACTTCACCTTTGTCTTCTTTCCAAGAACACAGTGCTCACAGAACTCAATCTTCCCACTCTTGACTCCCTTCAATAGCCCCTGCTTGCATAATACCTGCAGTAACTTTTCACCTGTGTGCCCCAACCTATAGTGCCAAAGTCTGCTCATGTCCGCTTCTGAAATAGCCGAAGCAACCTGGCCAATCTCGGTGCTTCCCTTCAGATAATACAAAATCCGATTGCGGACTCCCTTCATCACCACCAATGATCCCTTTGTAACCTTCGCTACAGCGTTTTCGAAAGTCACATTGAATCCCTTCGCCTCCAAAGCTCCAACTGAGATAAGATTTTTCTTCAGTTGAGGAACAAATCTCACCTCCTTCAACTCACGGACTACTCCATCGTGCATCCTAATCCGCACGGTACCTATCCCACAAACGACACAGGATTGATCATTTCTAGGGCTGGCAATGGTACACAATTCCATTCCAACCAATTCATGTACCAACCGTACCAAATACGTTGGTATACCATCAAATTGGTATATGGTACACGGTACAGTATACCGTACCAGCTTCAAAATATGGTACGGTAGGTGGTACACATTTTCCTCTACCATGGTATACCGTACCTACCAACTTATATTATATTAAATTATTTAATATATAAATTATATATATATCCTTAAATCTCAACCATAGATTTAGGGAAGATAAATCTCAACCATAGCTACCAAATACGTTGTCTAACTCTTCTATTTCACATTCATTTTATGACACAATTGGTGGCTTGCAAATGAACATTAACTAGCATACATGCAGTTTTCGTTTGATTAATTAGGTTCAAGTTATTTTGCTGCTTTATATGGTTTTTTCCCTAATCATCTAATATGATTTCTCACTTCAATATAATGTACAGTGTCATGGAACTAGTTGATGCTGGTGTCCCCTTACCTACCTTAGCACCGATCAAACAGACTATAACTCAAGTTGAAGGCGTGAAGGTATATCTTAACTCCTATCAAGAACTTGGTTGCCCATTGTCTCTTAAAAGGACAAATTTTTAAAAAAGACCCTTTTTAAAATTTATTAAGCGAAATCGACCTCCATCAAAAAAAATAAGCAAAACCGACCGTTTCCCCCTAAAAAGGTCGGTTTTACATTTTTCTTTGAGACTTAATTATATGTGTTTCTATAATGATGGTGTATTGCAATACTTCTAATGACTGGTTAGTGGTTGCCTATGGTTATTAGCAATCCCAGAGCTCATCATACATCACACATTACCAACCGTGACAGGAAACCAGAAAAGTTGTTGGATGCGCTAGAAAAGGCGAGGAGCGAACTCGTTGAAGCAGTGAATCGAAAGACAACAACATGAAAATATAATTATAAGAAACTTGGTATAAGCTCATATATGTATGAAAGATCTTAGAGCTTCTACAGACTGACTAGCAAAAGACATACTTGGTAGAAACTCAATACCAACCGTACCAACCGAGTACCAACCGTACCAAGTAGTTGGTATACCAACGTTATTGGTTGGTAGAAATGGTGAATTTTTCCTACCAATTATATATTGGTTGGTACTTGGTACTAGGAAAATGTAATTGGTATACCTACCAATCCAGCCCTAATCATTTCTCATGACAACAACGTCCCCGTCGACTTTCTCAAAAGATGCAAACCAGTCTCACCTAGGGGTCACATGAAAAATAGCATCGAAATTAAGCATCCAATCTGATGCATCCACATGGTTCACCTCCGGAGTAATCAGTAGAGAAAAGCACGAATCATCGGAATCATCGCCTTTCTCAATATTCACCTCATTGGCCTTCGGGCCCTTTTTCTTGCCATTCTCTTTCTCCTTGAGCTTCGGGCAGTCTCTCTTCCAATGTCCCTGCTCCTTGCAGAATGCACATTGGTTCTTTGTTAATTGGTGGCGGCTTCTTGACTTTGACCTTCCTCTATTACCACCTTTCGGATATGGGCTTCTACCTCTCGTCGACAAGGCCTCGCCTGAAGTGCTAGCACGGGAAGTCTCCTTGTTCTTCCTTCTCAAATCCTAATTGGTCAATGCGTTAGTCACTTCACTATAGCTGATAGAAGATCTCCCGATCAACAAAGTGAGCACGAAGGTATCATACTTCTCATCCGGTAAGGAGCCCAACAAAATAACCGCCTTGTACTCATCCGATATCTTCTCATCAACATTCGCCAAGTCCGACAACAACTTAGTATAGTTGTTCACATGAGCCGCTAGCGAGGTGCCTCTGGACATCTAAAATCTGAAGAGTCTTCGCAGCAAGTGCAACCTGTTCTCAACACTCTTTGTGAGATACTTATTGTTGAGAATTTCCCACATCTTCATTGCAGACGTCACCCCAATCACATCATATTTCAGCTCATGTTCCAAACAGGACCTGATCACCCCACAAGCGTTCCTTTTCATCTTCTCCCATACCGTCTCTTCATATTTAGGTGGCCTCTCGTGGACCATGATGGTCTCTTCCAAATTCTGAGCATTGAGCGCATCCTGTACGTCGCTCATCCACAAACCAAAGTTGATTTTGCCGTCATATTTCACCACACTAATTTTAGTGTTCTGAAAACCAACTTGTATTGTACTCGCCATCGATTTGCTGCTTTCACCTTCTTCTCCCATTGCAAACTAACTCCAAATTGTAGAGAAAGAACAAATTTGATAGGAATTAGGAACCACCCAACTGAACCCTAGATCGAATTCCAAATAGATCTCCTATCCACACGAGGAAAGCGAAATCTTCAACGGTAACTCCTAATGCTATCTCCACCGAAGCCGAGAACTCCAAGAACTAAGCTTCACACAAGAATCTTCCTCCACCAAAAAACCCTAGATCTGAAATCTGGGCCCTGATACCACTTGTTGCGCGCAGCGGAAATTTCGGCAGCACTTCGGCAGCACAACAAGAGAGTCAGGTCGCAATAAGAATTCTTGTTTCGATCTGACTCTCTTGTTGTGTTGCCGAAGTGCTGCCGAAATTTCCGCTGCGCGCAACAAGTGGTATCAGAGCCCAGATTTCAGATCTAGGGTTTTTTGGTGGAGGAAGATTCTTGTGTGAAGCTTAATTCTTGGAGTTCTCGGCTTCGGTGAAGATAGCATTAGGAGTTGCCGTTGGAGATTTCGCTTCCCCCCCAGCCAATGAAGACAGCGTCAAAATTCCTCGCACAACCCTAAAGAAAAAAAAACAAATTGATATATATATATATATATATATGTGTGTGTGTGCATGTTGCCTTCGGGTGGGCCGCGGAAGACGTGGAATCAAAACCGCGATCACGACTCGTGTGGGATTATGTGGGACTTGCTCACGTGGGTAGCCCCCACCCCACGTCTTCCCACGTCTTCACAAGAAATAGCTTTATAATATATAAATCAACATATGTAAACTAAAAAAATTTAAAAGAATCCATGTGAGCACGAGCAAAAAAAACTTGTATAGTATAGATATACCAGTAAACATAGGAAATAGTGTTCCGGCTGTGCGCCCAAGAGCATCCGTCTTTTCCATCGGTCACCTCCTACTACTAACGATTCTACAATGGCTCTTCTCTATCAAATCTGACATATGCATCTTAGCAAGGGTAAATGATAAATAATCATCCGCCGTTAGTCACTAACCCAACAAAATGCTCTTACACTCGACGGGAAATTATAATGAAGGGAGTAATTTGGAACAGTTTGTGAGATTCGGAGGGCCTAATGTTAATTCCAATGATGTGATAGACTAATTCAATATATTACGTAAAGATTTTGAGAAGGATTATTAGCAGTTTGGTACCCGAAAGTTGCACTATGTTTAACTTTAATACCACAGCTTTTTCCTCACACTTTGATAAGCTAAACTTTACACCTTTCCTAACTATGATACCCCAAAGTTTACATCTTTTCAACTTTGATGTCGCCAAGTTGTTTTGAAGACACTTTGATACTCCAAAGTTTATAATTTTTGAACTTTGATACCTCAAGATTTTATCGTTGACACCTTGATACCCAAAGCAGGGCACCAAGTTTAAACTGTAAATAAGTTGTTTAGCCCTTGTCAAAGTTAGAAAAAAGAGGGGGGCGGCGGGGCGGGGCGGGCGAATCAGGCATCAAAGGTCCAAAACAAGTGTTGGGTATAAAAAAAAAAAAAAGATGTAGGTTAAGGTATCAAAGTGTCAAATAGAAAGTTTGAGATGCCAAAGTTACAAAAGATGTAAACTTGAGGGTACCAAGGTGCAAATAACCCGTTTGGAGCTACGTAAGAGCCCAATTTCGTCTCCTCGCAGCTGAAACCCTTCTCCCTCCAGTCCCCTCGGCTGCAATGGCGTCCATAGTCTCATACAAACTCCTCCCATTTCCACCTCCCCTCTGCGCTCTCCGCAACAGTAAGAAGAAATCAAGCAAGCCAATCTCCAAGCACTCCGATCGCCTCCTCTCCTCTCTCTCCTCCTCCTGCGATCCCTCCGCCGCGGCCCACGTCATCAGAAGATTCGTCTCCTCCTCCTCCAAATCCACCGCCCTCCGAACCCTCTCCCTCCTCCTCTCTCTCTCCTCCCCTTTCTCTCTCCCCGTAAGTCCCCCAGTACTCAAACTTGCCATCAAATTTCAATCATAACCCATTTCTTAGTTTCTTGATTTCTTGCTTTCTCTGCAGTTTTATCGAAGAATCAGCGCTTCCCATTGGTTCAAGTGGACCCCCAAGCTCGTCGCTGAGGTGATCGCCTTGCTCGAATCTGACGGCCATCCCCTCGAAGCCCGGGAGCTCGTTTCTGAATCGGTTTTGAGGTTATCTTCTCAAAGGGAGATTGCCCATTTCTATTGTGACCTCGTTGTTGCTGCGTCGGGTAGAGGATTGAAAGAATTTGTTTTGGAATGCTGTGGTTGGATTAAAGATACGGGTTTTGTTGGGAAAAGGGTGTTTGAGTGTATGGTCAGAGGATTGAGCTTGGTGGGTATGGTTGAGGATGCAGAGAAGGTGCTTGATGAAATGGGTCACTTGGGGGTGGGTATGGTTGAGGATGCAGAGAAGGTGCTTGATGAAATGGGTCACTTGGGGTTTAAGCCATCGGGGTTTGAGTATAGAGTGGTGATTCAAGGGTATGGACGGTTGGGGTCGTTTAAGGAGATGAGGAGGGTGATTGGGAGAATGGAGAATGCTGAAATTGGAATTGACACGGTTTGTGCGAATTTGGTGCTCTCTTGTTATGGTGACTATGGAAATTTGGCGGAAATGGTTACTTGGATTAGAAATATGAGGCTGTTGGGGATTAGTTATTCTGTTCGAACTTGCAACTCCGTATTGAATTCTTGTCCTAGTGTAGTTTCGATGGTTAAGGATTTAGAGAATCTTCCCCTTTCGATGGATGACCTACTCGAAATGTTGAATGATGAGGAGGCTTTGCTAGTTAAGGAAATGGCTGGCACATCAGTCTTGCTTGAGAAATTGACGTGGTCTGATTCAGAAGGAAAGTTGGATTTGCATGGTTTTCACTTGGCATCAGCATACATTATCCTATTGCAGTGGATGGAGGAGTTCAGGCGTAGGTTAAGGGTTAAAGAAGAGGTTCCTATTCCTTTGGAGATCTCGGTGGTTTGTGGGTTGGGCAAGCATAGCATCATGAGAGGGGAATCACCTGTTAAAAAGCTTGTTTCAAAGCTAATGTCTCGATTGAAGAGTCCAATGAAGATTGATAGGAAAAATGTAGGTAGGTTTGTTGCAAAGGGAAAGGCTGTAAAAGATTGGTTGTGCTGACTTTTAGACAAGAAATAGGGTTTAATTTCTTCATTCCAGCATCTTTGGGCCTGCAGATACAAAAGCGTAACAGCTCGTTTTGTTCCGGAATGCTTGTCTATATATAGCTTCACAGCACACACACACACACACCAGGACCACACACACCACACATACATATATATATATATATATATATATATATATATATACTATATATATATATATTTATATTATATATATATATTATATATATATATATATATAGTTATTATAATATATAAATATATATATATATATATAAATATATATATATATATGGGCTAATGTTTCTCCTAAGGTAACACCTTAGATTCCCATCTAAGGACGCGGTCTAAAATCACATCATTTCCTAAAAAATAATTTGTGATCCGCTCCGTTGAACTTGATCTACACGTTCTTAAACTCAAACACATCAATTTTGAGGTGAACCCGTCGTGTTTTGAGCCTTCGTTGAGCCGTGCAAAAAGTTCTATTCGTTTGAAACCGTTAAAATTGCGGTGAGTGGATGAAGGGTCAAAACACCACAGGTTCACCCCAAAATTGGTGTGTTTGGGTTTAAGAACGTGTAGATCAAGTTTAACGGAGCGAATCGTAAAAAAAATTAGGGAATGATGTGATTTTAGACCGCGTCCTTAGGTGGGAATCTAAGGTGTCACCTTAGGAAAACATTTCCATATATATATATATATATATATATATATATATATATGAGAAAACGGGAGGTGAGCTGGCAGTGTAGGAAATTTCCTACGTTGTCGCCACGTGATTTTATTCGCTGGACATTTCTTTATAGAAGTAACAGATTTTCAAGGGAGGGAATTTATAAAAATGAGGGTCCTAGATGTAAAAAGCACAAATCTCTCCTGATTAATATCTCCCTTTCCTAATTATTCCACAAAATGCGCTGTCCTCCTTCCCCAAGCAATCTCACTACCCTCCTTCCCCAAGCGTCAGCGACCCTCCTTCCCCAAGCGTTAGCGGTACTTCTTCCCCAAGCGCCGGCTCCTCCAAGAAAACCTTCAACTCCTCCGATCTCTTCTCCATCCCAAACCTCACCGTAGGCGCCCTCGTCATCCCATCCCTCAGTACAACGCTCATCGCCCCTCCCTCGTAGGGGTGAGCACGGTTCGGTTCGGGTCGGTTTTTACCAAAATTTGAATAACCGAACCGAACCACCTATAATTCAAAACCGAACCGAACCGTTGCAAATTCGGTGCGGTTCGGTTCGGTTTGTTCGGTTCTAACTTTATCAAGTATAACTTCACTTCAATTTATCTTTTATATATTCTTATTACCCTATGCCAGCATGTATTTATTTTTTAACTTCACTTCAATTTATTATTCTTGCTCATGTATGTATACTGTTTTTAAGTGAAGTAACTTGTCCTTTTGGATTAAATACTAGACTCTGACGTTGTAATTTTTTAGTAACGAACTTGCTTTGTCTTTGGGTAAACGGGTAAACGGGTAGGGTTTGAGGCAAGGGAATATATTCGGTTGGTTCGGGTCGGGTCGGTTTGAAAAATTGTCAACCCAACCCGAACCGTCTTACTCATAAAACCGCTTTTTTTGGGTCGGTTCGGTCGGTTTTTTCGGTTTGAACCGAACCGTGCTCACCCCTAGTTGTGGAACGATGATTTTTTATCTGGGCTGCGAGATTCTAAAAGGCCGAAGGACAAAACTACCCCTAATTTGTCAGATACTTAGCACTATTTTGATATGGGGGATTTTTTTTCTCCAAGGAAAGATGCTGACGATCAGAGAATACTTTTGGAAATACTGATATTTGAGGGGTAATTTCGCAAAACTCAATGATTTAATAAGGGTATTATATATGAGAACCCCTTTCGGAAAATAGGCTGTAACTAGGGAACCTCTCCAACCCAGGCCTGTAAAGCCATTTACAGGACAAATTGGGCTGGGCATATCATTGTCTTTAATTTTCTTTGTTGGGCTGGATTTTATTAGGGCCAGTTAAGCTAACAGGCAACTAAAGTAAGTAAAGTATAAAATAATAAATCATTATTAGCTAAATATTGTAATTGAAAGAAGTATAATTAGGGATTTTGGTGCATGGCTTAGCTTATAATAAAGGACGTATATACTTATTGAAAAATGGGGGTTTATTTCTTTTATGGATTGGAAGGTTTTAATTGATTAAATGAGTTCAAAATCTGCAATATATATCAAACAACTTAATTAATTTATTTCATGAATCGTGTAGTGAAGATAATGTAATCTGGTATATCATGTGATGCATTTAATATGTATAGGAACATATTCATCTATAATTAAAAAAATCGATGTTATTAGTAATTCATTATGTTAAATGGCTACTTTTTAGTGCTGTAAGAGTTTCCGAGATTTGTGTTAAAAATCCAAATTAAGAGTTTAAATGTCATTGATTAACAAAGTCAATCAGGATGTGAACTGTTGACCGTATTATGATCTACTTTTCTGCTAATGCATCAGCTACTATTAATTTCCTAAGGTTGCATCATTGGTTATGCTAAGATTTTATCCTTGGGTTTCTATTCCTTAAGAGTTGTTTATGTTGGATTTATTAGTCAAAACCACTTTCCAAAATAAGTTTTCAAACTATATATTTACTAACTACTGGTATTTTTCAGAAATGCTTAGTAGCGTAGTGGAAAGTAAAGTTTAGGTGTTTCAAAATTTCCTCAGTTTGAGACTTGCCGTAGGCAAGCCGAGAATTGTTGTCTTACATAAATCAATTAATCTCTCATAAGTATTAGTGGGTCGTGGGCCATGGGCTCGTGGTTCATAGGCCGTGGGCTCGTGGTTCGTGGGCCGTGGACCGTGGGTTGGGGATTGTAGCTAATCGGGCTGAGGCGCTAAGTGATACTTTGTTTAGCGCACTTTGCACTTCGCACGGAGGCATCGGGACTAGGTAGCGCCACTGTGGCCGCTTCACAGCATGTGGGCGAGCCTCACGTTTGCGAAGCGGATGACCGTTGAGCTGACATTAGAGACCTATAAATAATGCCCTTTTGGGGCTTGGAGGACGCAAACACACTAAAGTGTTGAAAAACTTGAACAGATTGAATCTGTTGAGCTGTTGTGTTGCTATTGCAGAGTTTAAAAGCGTGCAAGTTTTAGCCTGTGCCCGAAGAAGTATAGCCCTGAACCGAAAGGTTTTAACCGAAAAGTTTAACAAATCGAGGAGATCATTGCCTTGACCGAAAGGTCTTCTAGATCATGGAGATCTTGACAGTACTTAGTAGGTGCACACCATTATGCTGTACTGCTATTCATAAAAGCAGTTTGGCCTTGGAATCCTTACACTGGAGTAGACCAAATATTGCATTAAGCACAGTGTTTCACGAACGCACAACAACTAACTTAAAAAAATTTTAAAATACAATTTAGTTTCAGGCGCTAACAATCTTAAAGCAATATTTTCATCTACCATGGATCCTGCGAGGACTCATGAAGTGGATTGTCTTAAGTTAGAGAACTTTGACGGATCCAACTTCAACGCATGGTGTCGGAAAGTGATTTTCGGGATGTAACTCCTGAAAATATACTATGTGGTTTCCGAGGAAAAACCCCACTTTGAAGAAGATTGACGGGTATCCCCAAAGCCGGAGATAGATCCGGAGGAGATGTTTCGGCCTCGGGTGTCCCCATGAAGACTGCGGAGTGCCGAGCGGCGGATCTGAGGAACTGAGGAGAGTCGGAGTTGACGAACTGAGGAGTTGACGAATTGCTGAGCGGCGGAGTTGACGAACTGAGTGAGAGCGGCGAATTGCTGAGCGGCGGAGTTGACGAACTGAGTGAGAGCGGCGAATTGCTGAGCGGCGGAGTTGACGAACTGAGGAGTCGGCGTCGAAGTGGCGAGGAGTCGGAGTTGACGAACTGAGGAGTTAACGAATTGCTGAGCGGCGGAGTTGACGAACTGAGTGAGAGCGGCGAATTGCTGAGCGACGGAGTTGACGAACTGAGGAGTCGGTGTCGAAGTGGCGAGGAGTCGGAGTTGACGAACTGAGGAGTGAGGAGAGGAGAGGATGAGGATCGAGTGGGAGACTGGGAGTCTGGGAGTGGCGGCTGAAATTGGGAATGAGATCTAGGGTTTAGCCGTTTAGGTGATGAAAAGAAATCACGGGTCGGGTCTCTCCTCTCTCGGACTCTGGGATCAGATGGGTATATCGGTCGGTTCGGTCATTTCGGGTTGAAAAGATTTCAACCCGACCCGAACTGCCACACAAGTAAAACCGAACCAAACTCTTGATTTCGGTTCGGTTCGGTCGGTTTTTTCGGTTTGGACCGAACCGTGCTCACCCCTACTCCCTCGTCATCCTATCTCTCAAGTGAAGAATGGACGCACCGCGAGCAATTTCGACGATCAAGAGGTTCCCAGTCTTAGGTTCGATCAGGAGGTACCTAGTCTTGTTGAAGCTCTTTCTTCTTTGTATTGATTATTTTCTTGTTTTTAAGATTTCTGATGCATCCCCTTCGTCGATCTTTGAATTTTTTTTTTTGCAATTGAACCCAATTCTCAAGTGAAGAACGGACACATCCCCTTTGCCAATCCTCAGGAAACCCAATTTTCAAGCCAAGGAAGAAGGATTATCTATTTAGCTTGAAGACCTGTTTTTTTATTGGTGTCGAGAATGTTAATGTCAGTTCGATTTAGCTTTTAGTCTTATTGGAGACTTTCTTGTGTAATTTGAGATTTGTTGAATATTTTCATGCCGCTGGATGTTTTTATAAATACATGCTTGGTATCTGAAAGTATTATCTATCTCTTATTTTCAGAGGCTTACATCGAAGGTCAGTGATCGGCTTGTTTTTAACATGATTGCATTGAATGAAGATCCAATGGATTAAGAAAATGTAAATTCTTACATTTATATATTACATGAAGAATTGCTCTACGAATCAAATGGATATTTGAGTGCTGCAATTGATTTGCTGCTTAATATATGATTAGTGACTTCATCTGTCGATCATGTAATGTAGTGGGTTAAGATTGTAATGTGAACTCATTTGAGTGAAGTAGTTCAAGCCTAACAATTTATTTCAAACAACGTGAATGAAGTATATTCATTCTTGTTGCGTGTATGATAAATCAAATTCATTTATAGAGATGAAAGAGAACTACTTTTTCATATTGGTTTTTCTAATGGATGGATAATTTATAATTTGCTCATTAAAAACGTGGATACAGATTGAGTTACTATACATCATAATCCTTCTTTTTTCTGGCATCCAATTATTGAGATTTAATCTGAACCAAAAATTCATCCTTACCAAATATTGATGAGCTCACAGTTCCAACATTGCACTCCATAAATCCTTCTTCCTAAACATTTCCATTCTGAAACATTTCACGCCATGAAAGAGAACTACTATTTGTCTTTTCATTTATTACTAGAATATTTCCTGCAACTTACAAAAAAGAAAATATTTACTTAACTAATTGAGACCACATATTTGAAGAACATCTCAGTCTGATACATCCAATCAAATAATACCGACAACACAGCATGAAATGAACTTGGGTCCATGAAATTTCTAAGTGTCGAATATTTTAGAAACAAACTTGGGGAAGAAGGTGCCGCCATTTAGAAACAACAATTTGGGTTTCTTCATTTATATATATATATATATATATATATATGGAAAAATGCTTCCAGCCCCCATAAGCTAAGGAAATATGTTTCCCATCCCCAAGACTTGATAATGGGTGTTTTACCCCCAAAAATAAAGATTCTGTTCTCTGAGCCCCCAAAACACAAAACCCAAGAGATTAAAATATGTGAAGACCATAATACCCTTCTCTCTTTCTTTTTTTTTATTAAAATATGATGAGGATTATTTTATTATTTTTGTTTTCTCTCTCTCTTTATCATAATGTACTAAGATGATAGTTGAAATAATTAATGATGATTATTTTATTATTTTTGTTTGTTATTATTTTCGTTGTTTGTATTGGGAGATTGTTAAAGTTACAGGTTAATTGTTAAGGTTACGAGTTAATTGTTAATATTACGGGTCAATTGTTAAGGTTATGAATCCTCTCTCTCTATATATATATCATGATGTTACTTTGATGGTATTGAAATGATTGAAGAGGATTATTATTTTATTATTATTTTTTATTATTCTTTTCGTATTTTTAGAATATTCGTTGTTAAGGATAATGGTTGGTTATAAAGGTTATGCATTGATTGTTAAGGTTACGGGTTGGTTGTTAAGGTTACGGGTTTGTTGTTAAGGTTATGAGTTTGTTGTGTATGTTACGGATTTATTGTTAAGGTTACGGGTTTAATTGTTAAGGTTACGTGTTTAATTATTAAGGTTACGGGTTTAATTGTTACGGTTACAGTTTAATTGTTAAGGTTACGGTTTAATTGTTAAGGTTACGGTTTAATTGTTAAGGTTATGGGTTTAATTGTTAAGGTTACGGGTTTAATTATTACGGTTACGTGTTTAATTTTTACGGTTACGGGTTTAATTGTTAATGTTACGTATTTAATTGTTAAAGTTACGGGTTAATTGTTAAGGTTACGGGTTTAATTGTTAAGGTTACGGGTCAATTGTTAAGGTTATAGATCTCTTCTCTCTCTCTCGTAACCTTAACAATTAAACTTGTAACCTTAATGATTAAACCGTAACCTTAAATCGGTAACCTTAACAATTAAACCGGTAACCTTAACAATTAAACCCGTAACCTTAACAATTAAACCCATAACATTAATAATTAAACCGTAACCTTAACAATTAAACCGTAACCTTAACAATTAAACCCGTAATCTTAATAATTAAAACTGTAACCTTAACAATTAAACCCGTAACCGTAACAATTAAACCCGTAACCTCAACAATTAAACCCGTAACCTTAATAATTAAACCGTAAGCGTAACAATTAAACCCGTAACCTTGACAATTAAACACGTAACCTTAACAATTAAACCCGTAACCTTAACAATTAAACCCGTAACTTTAACAACAAATCCGTAACCTACACAACAAACCCATAATCTTAACAACAAACCCGTAACCTTATCAACCAACCTGTAACCTTAACAAACAATGCATAACCTTTACAACCAACCATTATCCTTAATAACAAATATTCTAAAAATACGAAAAGAATAAAAAAAGAAAATAATAAAATAATAATCCTCTTCAATCATTTTAATATCATCAAAGTAACATCATGATAGAGAGAGTAATAAAATAATAATCCTCTTCAATCATTTTAATATCATCAAAGTAACATCATGATAGAGAGAGAGAGGATTCATAACCTTAACAATTGACCCGTAACATTAACAATTAACTCGTAACATTAACAATTAACCCGTAACTTTAACAATCTCCCAATATAAATAACAAAAATAATAAAATAATCATCATCAATTATTTCAACTATCATCTTAGTACATTATGATAAAGAGAGAGAAAAAACGAAAATAATAAAATAATCCTCATCATATTTTAATAAAAAAAGAAAGAGAGAGAGAAGGGTATTATGGTCTTCATATATTTTAATCTTTTGGGTTTTGTGTTTTGGGGGCTCAGAGAACAGAATCTTTAATTTTAGGGGTAAAACACCCATTGACCAAGTCTTAGGGGTGGGAAGCACGTTCACTTGGCTTTTGGGGGCTGGAAGCATTTTTCCCTTTTAACTTTTATCTCCAAACTACCATCACCCTCAACCTCTCACATCTCTCTCTCTCTCTCTCTCTCTCTCTCTCTCTCTAAAGATATGACAGACTTTTGAAAGATTACAATATGATCATCAACTATCATTCCGAAAAGGGCAAAACATGACATTTGATATGTTGAATAGTATTAACGCATGTAATTTTGCCTATCTGATCATCTAAAAGGACTATATTGGAGGATAAAAAACTAAACTAATAGAATGACACTCAAATGATGAAAATCAAAAATAGCGTGGAAGAGGCTACTTAGAAATTTAAGCTACACCAAGATGGATCATTAATGTTCGGGTCTAGACTTTTATATTTAATGTACCAAAGTAAAAATATATTTAAAAAATAGCAAAAGCAATGTCTACCTATATTTAGTTGATTTTGCATACAACAATATCTATCAATCTTGTATAAAGACAATATCCTATGAGCTCTTATGAGAGGAGGTATATGGATCTTATTCACTGAGATGATATTGATGAAATAAAACTTCTTGGACCGCAATTAGTGCAACAAGCTATTTATAAGATCCAACAAGTCAAGTAAACGTCTTCGAATTATACAGAATTGACAAAGAGAACTATGCTGATGGCAAAAGAAAAGTAGCAAGAGACTAGAATTTGTGCAAGCTAAGTCAATGATTCATTACTTTTTTTGAACTACTATAGCGAATTGGTCAATTTATATGCATCTAGCATGCTGGCTATATTCGAACGAACGACACAAAGTCTTTCATGTATTGATGTTAAGAAAAGTCATCCAAAGTCCAAATGAAGTCGGCTAATGAGGTTGTTTAGAGTTCAAGCCAGAATTGTTTTATATGATCATAACGAGTGCTTAGGCATGTAAGACTCTAGAACCTGTTGGAGCCACCTCTAATGTCCACATTGGATTCTTGAACCTGTTGGAGCCACCTCTAAAGTCCACATTGGTTGGCAAAAATTCTCGATGATTTCAAAACCCTTAAAAAGTCCACTATGGAGTGTTCTGTTTGTGCTTGTCATATGGTGAAGGTACCGTTATTTGGCCCTCTTGGGCATTTCTAATGTGAGAATTTTGAGTATTTATGATCTGGTCAACAACCTACGACGGTGTTATATGCAATTATGCATTCCATTTCTAGGGGTTATGTGTTCTATGATGCGTCTTATGCATTTCCATGCTACTGTGCTATAACATTCGTAGCTTTAGTGTGATTTATGAGGAGATTCTTGCAATTATGTGAACAACTTATTGATGTTTGATATTTTGACATTTGACTGTGAGCTTAAAAAAAACTGTATTTTTCTTACTTTACACAATTTTTTATATTCTGTTTTCCCAGTGTTTATCTTGTTTCCAAAAGTTTGCTTTTGGGATTCATGGCCACTTATTTAGTATGCATGTCAGAAAGAATTTTCAATTATTGCATTATGTTTAGAAAACACTAGTACTGAGTTCTTTTAAGCAATATTATGTCATCTTATAACTATATTTGCAAAACTTATTATTTACTATTTTGAAGGTATTTATTTTCTGCTGTATTTTTGAAACTTGGTGGAAAGACTACTCACTGAGCTTTAGCTCACTCCGTCTTTTTCAATAGTTTCTTTTTCAGATTGTGTAGCTTCATATACAAGCTGAATTTTGGATTAGGTAACTGCTGGGAGGCGTTATAAAGGAAAGTCTCTCTTTTGCCTTGTATACAGCCAAATGACGTGTTTGGGTTAGGTAAATTCTTATAATGGTGAGCTTTGAGATTGTAAATGCTGGTTGTATATATAGTTGCTCTAAACTTCTACCCTCGGCAAGTTTTATACTTTTGTAAAAAGCTATGCGATATGAAGTGCCAGGCTTGACACGTGCATGAGTCTTGTCTTGTGCATGGGTCACTGCTATCACACAAGTAAATTTATCTTCCATTGCTATTTTTGGGCCGTGAAAATTAACACATGAATCCATTTATTGGACACATTATACGGAAGCTCTTGTTATGCTTATAATGCTTTCGTTTGTTTACGTGAAAATTTTCACATTTGGCAAAGACAGTTTCCAACTGGGAAGAACTAGCAAGATCGTTTATATGTTAAAAGAAAGTTGTGGAGAATGCCTCACTTTTATCTAAACTTTTCAATGATTTTATATACTTAGATAGGATCTCATTACTTATACATAGCTATTATTTAATTCATATTAGTTAACTCCCATTAGTTACATACATCATGCATGGAAAGAATACAAAATTTATCTTGTAGAAAATATATGCTTTGCTCCACGGAACTGGCGATGGAGATCTTAATGAAGTACAAAATAGCCTTGGAATCTTATACTCAGCTGTGCATGCAATTCAAATTCAAGCAAACATGGAAAAGTTGTTTTATTAATAGAAACAACAGGTGCTCTGGGAGGAAACAAATAGAAATAGAAGAAAAACCACAATCATGAAGCCACATACACCTCAAAGATAACATGCTTAACCTGATCTATTTAGGACTGAACTTTTACGCAATAACAAAGAAGGAGATACTGATTGAAGCTGACTGCGAACATGGAAGATGATCGCATGATTTATTGGTGGAAGTAAAGCTTGTTGTGCTGTTCAACAAAGCAAAAGCAGCTGTATGGGGAGTAGCTGGTTGCTTTTTGGGTTGCTGATTTTGAGTTGATTATTTTTTGGACTCTGTAGAAGGATCTGTTTCTTTTGCAGAGGTTGATTCCATGGATTTTGGTGCATTTGAGGAGTTAACTTCTCCATGATCAGCTGATTGACCGGTGGTATCTGCTCCAGTAGTCTGTGCATTTTCCTCCATTTTCTCACTTGATTTTTCAGTAGGAGTACCCTGAGCATCAGTAGATTTTGGAGATTTTGAGGAGTTGTCTTCTCCAGTATCTTGTTGATCAGCTGATTGACCTCTGTAATCTGCTCCGATTGTCTTTGCACTTACCTCTCTTTTCACCCTTGAACTTTCACTAGTGGTACCTTGTTGAGAGGAAACCTTAGTATCACTTTCACTAGTAGTATGTTGTTGAGAGGAAAACTTAGTGTCAGTAGATTCTGGAGCTTTTGAGGGCTTAACTTTTTCAGTATCTTGTTGATCATCTGACCGACCTTTTGCATCTGCTCCAGTTTTCGGTGTATTTTCCTCCTTTTTCTCACCGAACTTTTCACTAGGAGTACCTTGAGCACCAGTAGATTTTGAAGATTTTGAGGAGTTATCTTCTCCAGTATCTTGTTGATCAGCTGATCGAACTTTGTATTCTGCTTCAGTTGTCTTTGCACTTTCATCTTTTTTCTCACCAAAACTTTCACCAGTAGTATCTTGTTGAGAGGAAAACTTAGTATCTGTTGATTCTGGAGCTTTTGAGGACTTACCTTTTTCAGTATCTTGTTGATCAGCTGACCGACCTTTGGTATCTGCTCCGGTTGTCTGTGTGTTTTCCTCCTTTTTCTCACCTAATTTTTCACTAGGAGTACCTTGAGCATCAGTAGGTTTTGGAGATTTTGAGGAGTAACTTTCACCAGTAGTATCTTGTTGAGAGGAAAACTTAGTATCTGTAGATTCTGGAGCTTTTGAGGACTTAACTTTTTCAGTATCTTGTTGATCAGCTGACCGACCTTTGGTATCTGATCCGCTTGTCTGTGTGTTTTCCTCCTTTTTCTCACCTAATTTTTCACTAGGAGTACCCCGAGCATCAGTAGATTTTGGAGATTTTGAGGAGTTGTCTTCTCCAGTATCTTGTTGATCAGCTGGTTGACCTCCGTAATCTGCTCCGGTTGTCTTTGCACTTTCCTCTTTTTTGTCACTTGAACTTTCACTAGAAGTATCTTGTCGAGAGAAAGGCTTAGTATCAGTTGGTTCTTTCTTCTCTTGAGGGAGGGGCTTAGAATCAGCAGTAGATTGATCATCAGGAGCAATTTTCTCTTCATGTTTTGTTTGGCTTGACGGGGCACCAGCAGGAGCTTCTTTAGTTGTAGTTGGTTCATATGCGAACTTATTAGCAGTATCAGCTTGATGTATCTGCTGCTCTTTTTCACCTTGTGGAGTTACCGATTGCTTTACTGAATCAACCATATTCATTGGTTGGATAATTTTGGATATTTTTTCCCTTGAGGGATCAAATACTAGTGGAAGAGAAGACTGGGGAGTGGTGGTGCTTTTCAGAACAATTGATTTGCCAGTGGATACTGGAATATGAGTGGGATGTTCTTGATCAGTTAAATCCTTTTGCTCTTCAGAAGGCGAGTGCAGTTGAAGTTTCTTCTGGACTAAAAATTTGTAACCTCCGTTCGACCTCACCTCAACCTCCTCCAACAAGCCAACCTCATTGAGTATCTTGACCACCTCTTGCCATGAATACCGACTCGAGATCTCCTCCCACCACTTGCTTACATTCTTCCTCGATTCAAATAGATAACCCCACTTCCTTGATCCCACTATATAATGAGAGTTAGGGAGATGGTAGAGGTCAGCGAGTGAAAACTCATCGCCAGCCAGGAACTTGCTCACCGCCAACCGCTGCTCGTATACATCAAGAACTTTGCTCAGCCTCCTCTCGCTCTCGGTGATCAGTGCTTGATCAGCCTCGACGTTGAATGCGAGGTGGCAGACCAGAGCCCAACTTGGAGGATTGAAGCTGTGTTGCTCTGATTTGAGCCATTGTTCAATTGAAGCTCGTTCGAGCAGATCTCTGCCAAGTAAATACTTGTTGCCTCGTTCTGCATACTTCTCAACTATATGCCTGCATATTGCTCTGGACTCTGTTCATTTCAAGAAGCAAACTGTTAAATTTCTCTACATTTTTCTTTTGGGGGTTTTTATATATACCCTTTATCATGCGAATTTGCAGAACTACCTAAATCTCAGTATTTATAAATTACCCCTCATATCATCAACTTTGGTAGGGGCTAATTTGTAGCTGCAATGCAAAAATATTGATAGCCAAATTTTAGGACAAATTTTCAAAATAGACCCTATTAGAACTTATTTGTAAAAATCGACCCGTTTGCAATTTATTCACCATTTTTGACTTAGTTTTAGCCAACTGGTTGAAACTGGGTCAAACATAGTGAATAAAACTTCATGGGATTCTAAATCCCGTGAAGTTTAGTGCCTAATTACCCAACCTAATCATGATTTGGCTGAGTAATTTAGCAACTAAACTTCACAGGATTTAGAATGCCGTGAAGTTTTCAAGATTTATTTACCATTTTAGACCAGTTTCGGCCAAGTGGCTAAAACTGGTTCGAAAATGATAATTAAATCTCAAAGAGGTCGATTTTTACAAATAAGGTTCTAATAGAGTCTATTTTGAAAATTTGTCCCAAATTTTAATCACCACAACCAACAAGGTTGATAATTTGTTAAATTTTTATGTGGGTGGTGGGACAGGGGCAGAGCAACCTTGAGGAAAGTGGTGTCACGTGACCCCACTTTCCTCAAGGTGACACTGTCCCTACGTTGGCGCGTTGGCTTTGGTGTGAGTAGTGGATAAAAAAGCTCACAACCAAACATAGTCATATTTATGTGTATAACCCCCCTTGGAGGATCTCACATTCTTACGGTTTGTTCATTTGAGTTGGATCTTTGTGAATGGTATAAATGTTCATGCCGCCAGTGGCTTCAAAGCTGGATATTAGGTTGACCGTGTAGTGACACCACTTTTGAAAAATTTAGGATCAGCCACCGGAAGGGGGAGGGCATATTTTTTTCCTCAAAGTTGATGATTTGGGGTTACTTTTTTTTTTTTTTTTTTTTTTTTTTTTTTGGGTTTTTTTTTTTTTTTTTTTTTTTTGTTTTTTGGTCACAAGGTCTTAATACTTCCATCTTGCACATGCACATTTCTAAACATCGTATTTTAATGAACTATACTTGAATAAGCCTAGTTTCAGAAATGTACCTCCATTACCAAAGTTATTTCGGTAATAGAAATGAGAATCATTAGTAAGAAAAGCATATCACTAGGATTTGTTAGATTCTGAAAGAAAAAACCCCACACAATTTCTTAGGATACAGGACATACTCTATCTCCTTCTGCAAAAACATTATCCGTTCTCGTCAAAGGTGGATAATTTCTTTCAATATTCTTTCCGAACTGCATACTTGGAAAGAAATTTAATATTTTTTTGGGGGGGGGGGGTTCTCTCTTAGTATATATGTATATATAAGTATACTCTCTCTTATATATTATAATATATGTATATATAATATATTTCTATATATGTATAATATGTCATATGTGTGTATATATATACTCTCTCTTAGTATATAAGTATATATAAGTATACTCTCTCTTATATAAGTATATATATGTATAAGTATAAATAAGTATACTTTCTCTTATATAGGAATACTCTCTCTTATATATGTATAATGTATGTATGTATATACTCTCTCTCTCTTCGTATATATGTATATATAAGTATACTCTCTCTTATATGTATACTCTCTCTTATATAAGTATATATAAGTATACACTCTCTTATATATGTATAATATATGTGTGTATATATATAGAGATACACTAATATACTCTCTCTCTTAGTATATATAAGTATACTCTCTCTTATATATGTATACTCCCTCTTATATAAGTATACTCTTTCTTATATATGTATAATATGTGTGTGTGTGTATACTTTCTCTCTTAGTATATAAGTATATATAAGTATAGTATATTCTAACGGCTACTTCTTTCCCATTGGCCCAACGGGCAACAGCTACTTGTGCGATTCTCTCTCTCTCTCAAGTTATAACTTATAAATATATACAATATATTTACATATAATATATGTATATATAATATATAGTTACATAATAATTTGTAAGTATATACTAATACATAATTATATAAAATATAATAATATTAAACTAATTTTTAGCATTTTTTTTATCAAAAGAAAAGAAAAGAAAAGAAATTTAAAAAAACCTAGTTGGGATGTACTTATCTATTGTGATGCGATGAATTCCAAAATAAATTTATACTTGTAATTTGTAAATGATTTATTAATTATTAATAAAGAATTTATTTTTATAATTTTTTATTTGTAATTTATGTCATTTTAAGTGATTAATAAAACTATTATTTTTTATTAATTTTTTTGTTTTTTTTATAATTTAAAATTTAAATAAAATTTAAAAAATTTGATAAAAAAATAAAAAAAAAAGAAAATAAACCGAGCCGGCCTGGAACCCGGCCCCGTCGGACCCGGGCCCGGGGTACCCGGGTCCGGGGTCCGGGGTCCGGTTTTGCCCGGCCAGGGTCCGGATTTCCAAGCCGGACCGGGCTGAGTCGGTCCGGATGGACAAGTCTAGCGTACCTCCTACAACTTATTTTTCCTCATTTTGCTATCGCCCGACTCACCCTTAAGGATTTGTGGGACCCAGGTCTTATAATATAGGTAATGTATAGCACTATTTCGCCCATGCGCTTATCTGCTAACAGTTCTAAATTATAGGAGGTAATTGTCGGGATCTTCGTCTTTTGCCTTTAAACTATTATCATAGTACTGATTCCAGTACTTTTTTAAATTCCCCTACCATTAATCCTAGTAACATAAATATAAAGAATCAACAACCTATATATTAAATTCAAAAGAATTTTTAACTCAAACATCAACCTTAATGTTTGTGAAGAAACGACGAAAAAGTTCAGGAAATTACAAGCATGAAACTATTTGGAAGCTTGCCGGTTGACCACGAGATCAGCTGTGGTCGACCGGCAAACATGCACACTACATGGTGCATTTTCGGATTTCTGTCCGGTCAACCGTGGCGTCAAGTGCGATCGACCGCGGACCCTGTAATCGATTTTACGAGTTTATGTCATTCTGTCCGATCGACCGCGACTCGGGTCTGAGCCTGAACTTTGTTTTCTAACCCGTTTTGTTTTGTGTTGATATGTAACCCTAAACCTGATTAAGTAGAGATAGAAAATGTCGGTTTGAGCGGACTTTTGAGAGAGTTTTGTGCATCCTTTGTGAGAGGATTTGAGAGAGATCTAGAGAGTTTTGTTTGAGGGTTTTTGGTGAGATTTGCAACCCTATTTGTAATTCTCTTCATTTCTAATAGTAAGAACTACCCCCTTATTGCCCCGTGAAGGTAGACAACTTGCCGAACCACGTAAATTCATTTGTATTGCTGTGATTTATAATTTGTGCTTGTATTTGGTTGCGATGTTTCTCGTTGTCTTGTCGTGCACTATTTGGTTTTCGAGTTCCACTGCGCACAACAAGTGGTATCAGAGCTTCGGGTTTGGCTTGGGGCTTGTTCGAAGGATTCACTAAAGGATTCTTACTTGGAGAGTTAGATCTACAACATGGGAGAAGCAAGCACATCGGGGTCGTCTCTTACAAAGGAGATACAAAGTCTGAGCATCAAATAATATAAAGATTGATGTTCCGAAGTTCGATGACAAGATTAATTTCGGTTTGTGGAGGTGTCAGGTGATGGATGCTTTGGATGCACAGAATTTGGAGGAGACTCTTGAGTTACAAGAGAAACCTGAAGACATGGAGGGCAATGTTTGGAAGAAGGTGAACAATAGGGCTTATGGAGTTATTCGATCATGCTTGACGCCAGATCTTATTTATAATGTGATGAACGAGACGTCGGCGAAGAGATTATGGGAAACACTCAATGAAAAGTATCTTACGAAGAGCATTGAGAATTGACTTTATTTGAAGAAAAGATTTTACCAGTTCAAGATGAAGAATGGAGTTTCCATTAGGGAGCATGTAAATAACTTCACGAAGTTACTTTCAGATATGGCCAATGTGGACATCATGGTTGAGGATGAAGAAAAACGATGCTACTTTTGTGTTCGTTGCCAGAGGATGATTAGATTATGGTACGTTTGTTCTCACTATGATCAATGGAAGAACTACTGTTAGTTACAAGAAGGTGACCTCAGCATTAGTGAATTATGAGTTGAGGAAGAGTGATGACGAACCCTCAGAGAAGGCATCGGGAGATGCATTAGTAGTTCGAGGCTGTAGTCCAAACCGCCATCAAGTCAGCCGCTCAAAATCGAAGAATAAAGGTGGCTATAAGAGTGTTGGTAGAAATCAATGTCATTTTTGTAAAGAAGAGGGACATTAGAAGATCGATTACCCAAAGTTGAAGGACAAAGCCGGGAAGAACAAGGAGAAAGGTGTACAGGCTTCAGAGGTGAATGTTGCTAAAGCTGTTAGCGACCATTCAGATTCGGATTCTTAAGGCTATTCATGCCCTGTACTACCGTCAGTTTGCTATGTCGATTCTACGGAGTGGATGTTGGTTCGGGAGCTATATTTCACATTTGTCCTAGGAGGGATTGATTCTCTAGCTTTGAGGATCTGGAAAGAGGGAATATCATGCTTATGAGTAACGATCACGTATGTGCTATTGGTGGTATTAGTTCAATCTAGATCAGGATACATGACGGAGTGGTTAGGGAGTTGAAAGAAGTGAGGTTCGTGACATAGTTGACGAAGAACATCATTGCTCTTGATACTTTGGAAATAACAAGTTATCAGGTGATCTTAGAGGATGCAACTGTGAAGGTCACGAAGGGTTCTATGACGGTGATGCGAGGTATCAGGGAAAACAACCTATACTACTTAAAGGGAAAGATAGTTACATGGGGTCTAGCAGCTTCTATCACTATAGAGGAGGACACTATCAGCTTATGGCACTTGCATTTAGGACATACTGGTGATAAATTCTGGCAGACATTAGCGAAATAAGGGCTATTGAAAGGTACGAAAACCTGTAAGATGGA